GCTTTTAACCTCCAAGCTGTCTTTGTTCATTCCTAGGTGTAGGCTGAACTAACTTTGGGAGAAACTTTATAGTTTAAACAAAGGCTGTAACAGTGCTTTCCCAAAGCAGACCTCCTTCTTGCCTGAGGACTAGACTGCCTTTGTAGGACCAACATTAACCACAAGATTAGAAATTACGGTTTAGGAGTCATGCAGCTAGAGGCTACAAGATTCTGACCCTCCCTAAACTGCTCCTAAGATCAGTGCTTGAGACATTTTGCAGACACTGCACTTGATGGATCAGCCGGCACCACCAGGATGAATAAACTGGCCCAGCTGATCTTGTGGCCACCCCCAAGCAGGAACTGCCCCAGCCCAAGAAGACAGCTTCCACTGCCTGTGATTTCATCTCTGACCAATCAGGACTCCTAGTCCACTGGCTTTCCCCCACCCACCAAGTTATCCTTAAAAACTGTGCTCCCCGGCAGGTGCAGTGACTCACACCTGTCATCCCAGCACTTTGGGGATCGAGGCGGGCAGATCACTTGAGGTCAGGAGTTCTAGACCAGTATGGCTAACATGTCTCTACTAAAAATACAAAAATTAGCTGAGTGTGGTGGCACATGCCTGTAATCCCAGCTACTCAGGAGGCTGAGGCAGAGAATCGCTTGAATCTGTGAGGCGAAGGGTGCAGTGAGCTGAGATCACGCACTCCAGCCTGGGCAATAGAGCAAGACTTAGCCTCAAAAACTAAAAAATAAAAAACTCTCCTCCCTAAATTCTCGAAGAGATTGGTTTAAGTAATACTAAAACTTCAGTCTCCCACCAAAAAAAAGTGGCTGTTGAATTACTAGTTTAACCATACACTTTTTTCTCCATCCTCTACAAACAAAAATAATAATGAACCTCTGAACACATTTACTTTTATCCTCCATATTTGGTATATATTAAGTTAAAAAAGAATTTTATCAATTCACTAAAGAAATATTTTTACTGTTTCCTGCCTTTAAAGAAAAATAATTATAAACAACATTTAATATATCAGCCCAAGATTAGAAAGAGTTGGACAGACCTGGTTTTGTGTCATTAATGTGTAAGTACCCAAAAGATCCAGAAGATGGCAGTATAATGATGTTTTTCTAAATTTTGGAGCCAGATATCTGAAAATTTATAGATTGTTCCCATTTTTATTTTCTCCTTCTTAAAGTGATGCACGATCATGAAATGCAAGGCGCTAAGGAACAAGAGGAGGAAGCCTCACGCTTACAGAACAGAGGAACCGGAACCGTGAGGGGATGGAATGTGCTCAGGTGGGGAATTAGAGGACTCACCTCAAATTTCAGCTCCTTGGGCAAGCCCCTTAATCTCACAGTCTGCGTTTTTTGTAGGTAAAATTATACAGCAATGTTCACCCACAAGACCACTGTGAAGACTAAATGAGATAAATTGTATAAATATACCCAGCACACTGGAACATAAAAATGTAACAAGCATTCAATCAATTTTTTTTTTTTTTTTTTTTTTTTTTTTTTTTTTTTTTGAGACGGAATCACCCTCTGTGGCCAGGCTGGAGTCTCTGCTTACTGCAACCTTCGCCTCCCAGGTTCAAGTGATTGTCCTGCCACAGCCTCCCAAGTAGCTGGGTAGCCGGGATTACAGGCATGTGCCACCATGCCTGGCTAATTTTTGTATTGTTAGTAGAGACAGGGTTTCACTGTGTTGGCCCACCTGGAATCAAACTCCTGACCTCAAGTGATCCACCTGCCTCAGCCTCCCAAAGTGCATGCCACTATGCCCAGCCAGTTCTTTTTACCTTCTGTAGAGACAGAGTTTCGCCACATTGCCAAGGCTTGTCTCCAACGCTTGGGCTCAAGCCATCCACCCACCTCAGCCTTCCAAAATGCTGGGATTAGAGGCACGAGCCACTACACCCAGCCCAGGTAGTGTTTTGCAAATTAAGTTGAAAAATTTAGATTTCATTCTAAGTGCAATTAGTTGCCACTAGGTAGTTTTAATCAAGGAGTTTATAAGTGATAAGATTTAAAATTTTTAGAAATCATTTTGACTTGCACATATTAATCAACCTTAACATGATTAACACGACTTGTGCTTCCTGATATCATGCAATTGGAAAAGCACAGTACAACCTATGAAATATTCTTGCCAACGGAATTGAATCTGGGTCTAATTAAGCCTCCAGCTCTACCTACCAGTTTACAGAAAATTTGGAGGTTAAAGGAACATGTTTAACAACACTGCAAGGAATCAATTAGCTAGATACAGAATGTGGAGTATTCTACAGGATAAATAACTTTTTTATTTTTGAAAAACAAGTGGATAAAATGGGAATACTAGTGTAGTCTTACAAAACACAACAAAAAAAGCTAGAGATGCATATCAACCAAATGCAATGTGTTTAATTAAATGATAATTAAATAACAAAAGCATATATTGAGAAATAATTGATCATTTTTAGGTGTAATTATTCCCTACTTGTTTTACTTTAAAGAGAAAAATTTTTTTTTGAGATGGAGTTTCACTCTTGTTGCCCAGGCTGAAGTGCAATGGCACAATCTTGGCTCACCACAACCTCTGCCTCCCTGGTTCAAGCAATTATCCCTCCTGAGTAGGTGGGATTACAGGCATGCACCACCACGCCCCCTAATTTTGTATTTTTAGTGGAGACAGGGTTTCTCCTTGTTGGTCAGGCTGGTCTTGAACTCCAAGCATCAGATGATCAGCCCACCTCAGCCTCCCAAAGTGCCGAGATTATAGGCATGAGACACTGTGCCGACACTTTTTAAGGTTCTTTTCTTTTAAAGATATCTACTGAAACATTTATGATTGAAGCGATATATCTTGGATTTGTTTTAAAATACTTGAAAGAGAAAAGATAATTCGGGAGTGGGAAGATAGATAAAACAAGATGGGCAAATTACTGATCACTTTTGGAGCTGCTGTGATAGGATAAAGAAATTTGATACACTACTCTTGTTTATATGTATGGGGGTTTTTGTGTTTTTGTTGTTGTTTATGGCGGCGGTAGTAGTTGTTGGTTTTGTTTTGTTCTGTTTTGTTTTTCTTTTTGTTGAAACAGATGTTTGCTCTTGTTGCCCAGGCTGGAGTGCAATGGCAAGATCTTCACTCACTGCAACCTCCGCCTCCCAGGTTCAAGCGATTCTCCTGCCTCGGCCTCACAATTAGCTGGGATAACAGGCATGTACCACCACGCCTGGCTAATTTTTGTATTTTTGGTAGAGACAAGGTTTCTCCATGTTGGTCAGGCTGGTCTCAAACTCCTGACCTCAGGCAATCCGGCTGCCTGGGCCTCCCAAAGTGCTGGGATTACAGGCATGAGCCACCGCGCCCGGCACCTGTTTTGTTTTTCTAAGGCAGGGTCTTACTGTTGCCTTAACTGGAGTGCAGTGGTGCAATCATAACTCACAGCAGCCTCAAACCCCTATGCTCAAGCAACCCTCCCACCGCAACCTCCCACGTAGCTGGGACTACAGGAACATGCCACCACTCCTGGCTAATTTTTAATTTGATGTGTATGTTTTTAAATTTCCCCATATATACACACGTATCTCACTCTGGTTGAAATGCAGAGAATGGGATGCAAGGAGGCAATAGTGGAAGCAGGGATGGCAGTTAGAACACTGATGCAGTGGTCCACATAGGAAAAGCTGGTGGCTTGGACTGGACTGGTGATGATGGAGGTATTAGAGAAGTGGATGGTCTCAAAATACTAGGGAAATCAAATTGACAAGACTTCTTGTTGATTTGGGATGGAGTTGAAGGGAGTAGGAAAGGAAAGGGAAGAAGCCCTTTCAAGATAATTTCTGAAATCTTGGCCTTATTATGACAGGTTGTGGGGAGGCTGGGGTGCAGGGTTAGGAAGAGTTCTGTTTTGTCCATGGTAGTTTTGAGATTCCTATCAAGAACTTTTTTGGAAAAGCCAGATAAACTGTTGGGTGGAATTTGCAGCACAAGTTAGGACTGGAAATGTAGATCTAAAGGTGAATCTTTTAGATAGTATTTAGTCAGAGGACTGAGAGATATCACTGAAGAAGTGAAGAAATGGAGAAGGAATCTCAGAATAGATGCTTAGAGGCTGAGCAAAGAAGAATCCAGTAGAGCATCAATGTGCCCATCTGTGTTGCAGAATTGTAATAGGGCAATTGAAAGGATTATGCATGATTTTGTATGCAAATCCCTCTGTGGCACATAGTAAAGGTTCAGTAGCCATTATTCATCTTTGCCCCATTCATTTTTAGCAAATAACTTCTCCTCTTACTTTCCTGAGAAGCAAAGATCTGCAGGGGGCAACTCCATCACTTTCCTTCTCCCCGACCCTTAAACTCACTTGTAAGTCTATCATCCATTTCCTCCTCCTTTCAGTGTCAAACACAAATTCCCATTCCTCTTCTAAGTTCATTTCTTCTACCAGGCTGTCAATTCTATTCCTCCCACCTCTTCTGAGATCTTGCCCTACCAATTATGACATTCTGTCTTACACTTTCCCTTCCTCTCCCTTTGTAGCTTCTTCCATTCTGCTTATAAATATATGACTTCATTCTATCTTGTTTTTTTTTTGTTCTTTGACAGGGACTGACTCTGTCACCCAGGCTGAGTCCAGTGGGGCAATCTCAACTCACTGCAACCTCCGCCTCCAGGGTTCAAGTGATTCTCACGCCTCAGCCTCTCAAGTAGCTGGGATTACAGGCATGTGTCACCACACCTGGCTACTAATTTTTGTATTTTTTGGTAGAGACATGATTTCGCCAGTTGTCCAGGATGGTCTCCAACCCCTGGCCTCAACCAATCTGCCTGCCTCTCCCTCCCAAAGTGCTGGGATTACAGGTATGAGCCACGATGCCCACCACTTTTCCTCATTCTTGTGCTGAGGCCATAAGGGTCCTTTAACTGATCCCCTTCATTTTCAAAAATTGCAACCATATTTCTGAAAACTAACAATAGGTTACAGTTTAAAATTATGGAAGAGGCCTGAGATTTGCTAAAGAAAAGGCATAGTTAAAAAATGACCTGCTTAGGTTGCGACAGAGGCCGAGTGGCGAGGCCCAGCTCCCTGAAAGAACAGAACCTACCCCTGTGGGTCATCATCGTGCCCTCCGACCTGGCCAGGAAGAAGGCAGCCAAAAAGAAGGAGGCTGCCAAAGCTCGACAGAGGCCCAGAAAAGGACATGAAGAAAATGGACATGCTGTCACAGATCCACAGGTGGCAGAGGAAAATGAGGCCAGTGGCAGAGAGACCACAGAAGTGGATTTGCTGACCAAGGAGCTCGAGGACTTTGAGATGAAGCTGCTGCTCGAGCTGCCACTGGCATCCTGGCCTCTCACCCCAACAGTACTGATGTTCACATTATCAACCTGTCACTCACCTTTCACTGTCAAGAGCTGCTCAGTGACACCAAACGGGAATTAAACTCAGGCCATCCTTATGGTCTCATTGGCTTAAATGGAATTAGAAAGTCCATGTTGCTTTCTGCTATTGGGAAACGTGAAGTGCCCATCCTTGAGCATATCGACATCTACCACCTGACTCGAGAGATGCCCCCTGGTGACAAGACGCCCTTGCTGTGTGATGGAAGTCAATAGAGAGTGGGCCATGCTGGAGAGGGAGGCAGAGTGGCTGGCTCACGAGGATGCGAAGTATGAGAAGCTCACGGAGCTCTATGAATGCCTGGAGGAGCTGGATGCCGACAAGGCAGAGATGAGGGCCTCGCGGATCTTATATGGACTGGGTTTCACATCTGCCATGCAGCGCAAGAAGCTGAAAGACTTCAGTGGGGGCTGGAGGATGAGGGTTGCCTTGCCAGAGCCCTCTTTATTTGGCCCTTCATGCCGCTTCTGGATGAGCCCACCAACCACCTGGACCTAGATGCTTGCTTGTGGCTGGAAGAACTAAAAACTTTAAAGTGCATCTTTTAAGCGCAATGGTCCTTGTCTCCCATTCCTAGGATTTTCTGAATGGTGTCTGTACCAACATCATTCACATGCATAACAAGAGACTGAAGCATTATACGGGTAACTATGATCAGTATGTGAAGACATGGCTAGAGCTGGAGGAGAACCAGATGAAGAGGTTTCACTGGGAGCAAGATCAGATTGCACACATGAAGAATTACATTGTGAGGTTTGGCCACGGCAGTGCCAAGTTGGCCCAGCAGGACCAGAGCAAGGAAAAGACGCTACAGAAAATGATGGCATCAGGACTGACAGAGAGGGTCATGAGCAACAAGACACTATCATTTTACTTCCCACCATGTGGCAAGATCCCGCCACCCGTAATTATGGTGCAAAATGTGAGCTTCAGGTATACAAAAGATGGGCCTTGCATCTACAATAATCTAGAATTTGGAATTGACCTTGACACACGAGTGGCTCTGTTAGGGCCCAACGGAGCAGGAAAGTCAACTCTTCTGAAGCTGCTGCCTGGAGAGCTACTACCCACAGATGGCATGATCCGAAAACACTCGCATGTCAAGATAGGGCGTTACCATCAGCACTTACAAGAGCAGCTGGACTTAGATCTCTCGCCTTTGGAGTACACGATGAAGTGCTACCCAGAGATCAAGGAGAAGGAAAAAATGAGGAAGATCATATGGTCTCACTGGGAAACAACAGGTGAGCTCAATCAGGAACTTGTCAGACAGGCAGAAATGCTGAGTGTGTCTGGCCTGGCTGGCCTGGCAGAACCCCCACATGCTCTTTCTGGACGAGCCCACTAATCACCAGGATATTGAGACCATCGACGCCCTGGCAGATGCCATCAATGAGTTTGAGGGTGGTATGATGCTGGTCAGGCTCATTCAGCAGGTCGCACAGGAAATTTGGGTCTGTGAGAAGCAGACAATCACCAAGTGGCCTGGAGACATCCTAGCTTACAAGGAGCACCTCAAGTCCAAGCTGGTGGATGAGGAGCCCCAGCTCACCAAGAGGACCCACAGTGTGTGAGTCCTCTACCTGGGTTCAGGTCAGGAGCTCCATCTGGTAACTAACAGTTGCTACCCTGACCAGCCTCTCAGGACAGGACCCTGGGGCTACACACTCCTGCATTGCAGCAATACCGCTCCCCCAGCCTCTCCTCTGCCCCTCGACCTGCCTTAGCTGCACTTTTATCTACAGCTAGACAGTACCTGTCTGTTTCCCATCCTCCTTCCAGTTACTTCTGTCCATGTCTGGACTTGGCTGGCCGTTCCCTCCAGCCCCTTGCTGGTTACCTTATTCTGAGTGTGATGCAGTCAGAGGCACCTGAGGGTTAGCCCAAGGGCCCAAGCCTGGATTTGGCCCTCAAAGGAGCTTAAGATCCTTTATTTCTGGGTTTTGGTGATGTTGGAGGAATGCCCACTGCCCCCATTCCTTTTTGCTTCTTGTTTGGAGCTCTGGATCAGGACCTTCGTCCTGGTCAGTTTTTAAATAATTATTTAACAGTGTAACTTTTAGACCTGCATGGCATCTGCAAAGCGCCCAATAAAGAAAGAGGAAGCCAAAAAAAAAAAAAAAAAAAAAAGACCTGCCACTAACTAGCTTGCTTTCTGAAAGTTGCTTGCTGCCCCAGAGTCATATACCCAGAGGCTGCAATATTTGTAACTTCCCCAACTACTCCTATAGATAACATCACTACTGTAAAACCTAAAAAACTGGACGTTGCGATATTTTTCCAATTTAGCATTTTGGCAGACTAAGAAGACATCAGCTGGTCCTGGGATGCCCGCCCAGGATCTGAATCAGTGGCGTGAAAACAATTTAGATTGTCTGTGATTTCATCCCCAGCCAATCAATTGTTTCAGTTCCCCAGTTCCCTGTCCACCAAAGTACCCTTAAAAACCCTAGCCTTGGCCAGGTGTGGTGGCTCACATCTGTAATCCCAGCACTTTGGGAGGCCAACGTGGGTGGATAGTTTGAGCCCAGGAGTTTGAGACCAGCCTGGAAAACATGGTGAAAACCTATCTTTATACAAAAATACAAAAATTAGCTGGGTATGGTGGCACACGCCTGTAGTTCCAGCTACCCAGGAGGTTGAGGTGGGAAGATAGCTTGAGCCCAGGAGGGCAAGGCTGCAGTGAGCCATGATAGCACCATGACTGCCTCACTGCAGTGAGCCATGAATGAGCCATGACTGCACTCCAGCCTGGGAGACAGAGTGACACCCTATCTCAAAAACAAACAAAAAATCCCAGTCCCACCCACCAGCCTCCGAATTCTTGGGGAAGTAGATTTGAGAAATTTCTCCCATCCTCAAGCTTGGCTGGCCCTGTAATAATGAAATGCTTTCTTTGCTGCAAAACCTGCTGTTCTCAGTGCATTTGTTTTTTTCAGGCAGCAGGCAAGAAGATCCTGTCAGGCTGTAATATCAGCATAAAGGAAAATAAAAAATCTCAGGAGACTCAAACTCCTATGTCAAAGGGAAAGTAAAGCCTAGAGGCTGAGTCATGCAACTGCTCTCTTCTAAATGAGTAGCTGTTATTAGCACTATGCCAGATTCCTGCAGAAAGGTAAAAAACCCAGGCAACTGAGAGTGACCGTTCCCACAGAACATTCATAAGTAAATTGTTCCCTGGCCTCCAGTAAACAAAGACATGCCACTCGTAACTTTCGGTCTGTGATCTAAATCTGGCTCCTAAAACTAAATTCTCTTTGAGATTCTACACTGACAATGTTCATTACAAGCTTATCTTTTCAGATGTGGAACAAAGACAAGACGAGGTCAATCATTCCTCCACTCACCAGATGTGTCTGCATAATGGATTCTTCCTTTACTCCCTTTTTTAATTCAGACATTCACCTTATCTTGTAAAAAGTGTAGATTTACTGGGGACTAGCTAAAGTCTCACAAGAATGTAACCATTTGCCTTACCACCTACCTGTCCCTCTTCCTAGATGCTTTCCCCTTCTGTATAAACGTAGAAATACTAAATCTCCCAAAAACTTCTTTGGCAAAAACAGCCATAGATATGTGTGTAGCATGTACTTTTCTCAGGCACACCATAAAGCTGGCTTAATGATTGACTGAGATCCTTGCCTTGGTCACTCATTTTGGTTATCAGTAGCAATAATAAACAGTAAAAAACAATCACAATCGTGGACATGAAGAGATTTTTTTTTAACTAGACCTTTGTGTATGCATTGTGCATTTCATCTGCTCCTATGTATCATTAAACACTGTTCTTTGCTTAGTGACAATACAAAATCATTTTACAATTTACTATTCTCACGTGAAGAGAAAAATAATTAATGGACAATGCTTTCGCTTTCTAGGGGCTCCTAAAACATTAGACAGCTGTGTCAAATAAGCGAGAAAAATCAGTAAGGTAATAACAGATGTGTCTCCTTGCATGTGGTCACTGTCAGTACATTTAAGGAAGAAAAGGACACAGAAGCCAGGTTGAGAAGGGCTGAGATGCAAGTGGGAAGTGTGGAAATGGACATTTATGGAATTTGATTGAGAAGGAAAAGGCTGTATCTACAGGGCCAGGAAGAGTTTTCCTTCCTTTCTTCTTTTCCCTTCTTCCTCATTCCCTTTCTTGTTTCCTTCTTTTCTTTACCTTCTCATTCTTCTAATTCATCTTCCTTTTCTTAAAATCCAAGGCAACATAATATTTGGAAAAAAATTCAAACACTCTAGAAATATATGATGAAGGATGTCCTTGTAGCTAGGAGGAGCTTTATTTATTTATTTATTTATTTTAAAGACAGAGTCTCGTTCTGTTGCCCAGGCTGGAGTGCAGTGTCACTATCTTGGCTCACTACAACCTCCACCTTCTGGGTTCAAGCAATTCTCCTGTCTCAGCCTCTGGAGTAGCTGGGATTATAGGTGTGCAGCACCATGCCCGGCTAATTTTTGTATTTTTAGTAGAAACAGGGTTTCCCTATGTTGATCAGGCTGGCCTCAAAGTCCTGACCTCAGGTGATCAGCCCGCCTCGGCCTTCCAAAGTACTGGGATTACAGGTGAGAACCACCAAGCCCAGCCGATAAGAGGAGATTTTAATATTGGCTACATATTATATAACCTGCGAGGTTTTAAAAAATTCTGCTACCAAGCCCACAGCCCATATCAAAGAACTCAGAATCTCTGAGTGACACTCAAATACCAGTATCCTTTTTTTTTAAATTGTTCATACAAACTGTAAGAAATGGCATTAATACCAGTATTCTTTAAAGCTCCGTAGGTGATTCCCATATGCAGTCAAGGTTGAGGACCACTGCATCAGGGCTTTGCTAGTCAAAGAGTGGTTGTGAACCACAAGCATCAGCATTAGCATTCAGCTGAATCTCAGCTCTGCACTCCTCTCTACCTACTGAATCCTATTCTGCATTTTAACAAGGTCTCTTGGTATTTCATATGCACACTGAAATTTGAGAAGCACTTTCGCTAAAAGCAATAAAGACATTTTGTGGTTGCTTTTTTTAAACAATAGAATGGTAGGCCAGGTGTGGTGGCTCACGCCTGTAATCCCAGCATTTTGGGAGGCCAAGAAGGGAGGATTGCCTAAGAAGGGAGGATTGCCTGAGCAGGAGTTTGGGACCAACCTGGACAACGTAGTGAAACCCCATCTCTACAAAATATACAAAAATTAGTAACTGGGTGTGGTGTCACATGCTTGTAATCCTAGCTACTTGGGAGGCCGAGGCATGAGAATTGCTTGAACCCAGGAGGCAGAAGTTGTAGTGAGCATGAGCAAGGATCACACCATCACATTCTAGCCTGGGTGACAGAGCAAGACTGTCTCAAAAAAAAAAAGGGCAATTTAGCCTGGTAGAAGCAAGATGGAGTCAGTTATGTCAGATTTCCCTTACTACTACAATTTTTGCAAAGGCAGATTCACTACCAAAAGGGAGAAACCGTTTTCATTTGCCCACCCCAAATAAATTTACTTACTTTAGATTGGATTTAATAATTTCTGTCAATCATTTCCATCTTAAGAGAGATAATTAAAAAAGAGTCAAGTCAGGTGTGATGGCTCACACCTGTAATCCCATCAGTTTCAGAGACTGAAGTGGGAGAATTCTCTGAGCCCAGGAGTTCATAAACCAACCTGGGGAACATGGTGAGAGCCATCTCTATTTCAAAAGAAAACCAAAAAAAAATTTTTTTTTTTTAAGTTGGGGTTTTACCATGTTGGTCAGGCTGGTCTTGAACTCCCAAACTCAGGTGATCCGCCCGCCTTGGCCTCCAAAGTAACTGGATTACAGGCGTGAGCCACCACGCCCGGCCGAAAACCAAAAAATTTTAAACACAGCCAAAGCATTTTACTCTTTGAAGTAGACTCTCGTAATGATACAGAATGGTGGGGCTCCCAACTAAATGCCTCCCTCAAACCTGGAACCTGGGCCCTAAGTGAAAACAGCTGGCCCCATTTTTCAGCCCAAATGATTGTCTTTTGAGCCCACCCTGTTATAGGAAAGGAATCCTGATCCAGACCCCAAGAGAGGGTTCTTGGATCTTGCGCAAGCAAGAATTCAGGGCAAGTCTAAAGAGGAAGTGAAAGCAAATTTATCAAGAAAGAAGAATAAATAGAGCAGTCCCAAGGGCTGCTGGTTGCCTATTTTTACAGGTATTTCTTGACTGTATGCTAAATAAGAGGTAGATTATTCATGCCTCCTTTTTTTAGACCATTTAGGGTAACTTCCTGACATTGCGATGGCTTTTGTAAACTGTCATGGCACTGGTGGGGGTGTAGCAGTGAGGACAACCAGAGGTTACTCTTGTCACCATCTTGGTTTTGGTGGGTTTTAGCTGGCTTCTTTACTGCCACCTGTGGTATTAGCAAGGTCTTTATAACCTGTATCTTGTGCCAACTTTCTAATTCTGTGACTTAAAATGCCTTAACCATCTGGGAATGCAACCCAGTAGGTCTCAGCCTCATTTTACCCAGCTCCATTTAAGATGGAGTTGCTCTGGTTTGTATGCCTTGACAGCCCCTCCCACTATCCTGTGCCCATAAAAATCAGACCAGCTGGCAGAAAAAAAAAAAAGGAAAAAAAGAGCAACACAAGTGGCCGAGCCTCAGGGATACAGGCTGCTGAGCCTTGGAGACACAAGCAGCTGAGCAATGAGCAGAGAAACAACTGAGCATCAGAGACTATGGATAAATGTGGCTAACTTCAGATGATGTGGTTTCAGAGGGCAGCCCAGCCAGGAACGGCAGGGTTTGACGGAAAGATCACCTTCATCCTGCACCATCCCCTTTCCAGCTCCCCTTTCATGAGAGCCACTTTTACTGCTCAATAAAGTCTTCCACATTCATTATCTTTCAAACAATTCCTGTGACCTGATTCTTCCCTGACACTGAACAAGAACTAGGTTGTCAAAAAAAGGCAAGTGCAGGAGGCTGTCACCCTGACCCTTCACTGAGCTATTAACACTTAGCTGTCCATGGACTGCAGGCTGAGTGAAATGAGATACTCCAGTTCCTGCCCACGAAGGGGGTCAAGCTCAAGGGAAAAATCCCATCTCGCTTATTAAGTCAGACTAAACCATTGGCAGTCAGAATCATGTTTATCCTCCC